GGATGATGACCAAATGGACAAGGTTTCTCTTAAACCTCAAGCAAATAGACGAGGTCGCCCTCCTCAAGATAATGTTCCCGTCCCTCCCCCACCTCCACCAAGAGCAGCAACCCACCGACAGTTACCGAATGAGGGTTATACAAGTGCTATAGTCCCATCCAGCATTAGGGCAAGCTATTTACAAATCACCAACGTGATGCTTACACTACTTGAGCAACATGGATTCTTCACCGGGGCTCCGAGTCAAAATGCCTACAAGCATCTCAAAGGGTTCATTGATAATTATTGGGGGAGCAAGCAAACAAATATCTCTGAGGACGCGCTGAGGTTGAGGCTATTTCCCTTTTCTCTACGGGGAAAGGTATTGGACTGGTTAGAGAGATTTCCCAATCATTCCATCCACACTTGGGATGAGTTGGCGGAGAAATTCATTTCTAAATTCTTCTCTCCAGGACATATGGCGACACTTCGGGATGAGATTCTTGCATTCAAGCAAGAATGCAATGAGCCATTGCACGAGATTTGGGAAAGATATCGTACCATGGTTAAAGAGTTCCCGAATAATGATATGACCGAGGCCATGATCCAACAAACCTTCTACAAGGGGTCAACACAACAAATCAATGTGTGGTAAATCAACTCGCCGGAGGGAACTTCATGAACACGCCTTATGCCGAAGCTTGTGAAATTCTTGATGAGATGACGGATACCTCATTGGCATGGCAAAGTAGAGCCAATTTTCCGCAAGGTGACCCTAATGTCATTCACCTACACAAGGAGCTATATGATCATGGGCAAGCTATTGCCGAGTTGACAACCACAATGAACCAATTGGCCAAAGCTCAGCTTCAACAAGTTCAAGGGTCGAAATGCAAATCCGTCTGGAATAATTCATGCAAGATGATAGTGGTTATGATCAAGATGATTCGTTCAATGAGAAAGAAGAAGAAGTTAAATATGTTAACAATTATCAAGGCCAAAGAAACAATGCTCAAGGACAAAATCAACAACAATGGAGGTCGCAAGGAAATCAAGGCAATTGGAACAACCAAGGCCACTAAGGCAATTAGAGTGGTGGTAACAATAATCAAAGCAATTGGATTAATCAAGGTAACCAAGGCAATTGGGGAGGTAATCATCAGGGCAATTGGGGCAGCAAAAATCAAAGTAATTGGGGAGGCAATAATCAAGGAAGGTGGAACAATAACAACAACCGGGGACCGGGTTTTCAAAGGCCTCCAATGTTCCAACAACCGAGCAATCCACCCCATATCCTTGTCAAGGCCTGAGCTCTTCTAATAATTAAATGGGTAGAATCGAGAATATGTTTAAACAAATGATGGAGAATAATGCCGACTTCGATGCTCAATTAGCCTCTCACAACACTTCTATTTGAAATTTGGAGGTTCAATTAGGCCAAATCTCACAAACTTTGAACTCTCGTACTAAGGAGGCACTACCTAGTGATACGATGGTGAACTCGAAGGGTGGGAATAATACGGGGCATGCTATGGCCGTGACTACTAGAAGTGGAAAAGATGCAGATGCAACCACTTCAAATCAAAGAAGGATTGTGGATGAAGATGTTGTGGTACAAGATGATGAAATCCCAGGCAACGTGGTTCAAGCTAATGAAGATTTGAGAATTGATATTGATGAAATTGTGGAGGATATGCAAGAAGAAGTGAACCTGTCTAGGGAACACGTGATTGACATGTAGAAAACGGTAGTGCCAAAGGCTAAGGCACCAATGCCAAGGCCTCCTCCTCCATACCCTCAAAGTCTTGAAAAGCAAAACAGTGAAAACCAATTCAAAAATTTTATTGATATGATGAAGAGTTTGTCGATTAATATACCATTGGTTGAGGCATTGGAACAAATGCCGGGATATGCAAAATTTATAAAGGATTTTGTAACCAAGAAGAGATCGATGAATTGTGAGACAATCAAGATGACACATCAAGTGAGTATGATTGTGCACTCAGCGGATCCTAAGTTGTAAGATATGGGCGCTTTCACAATCCCTTGCACTAATGGGAGTGCCGACTTTGCCAAAGCATTATGTGATCTTGGGGAAAGTATCAACTTGATGCCCTATTCGGTGTTCAAAACATTGGGAATTGGGCAACCAAGACCCATATCTATGAGGTTGCAAATGACGGATCGAACAATGAAGAGGCCTTTGGGTATTATTGATGATGTGTTGGTTTGAGTTGATAAGTTCATCCTCCCAGCGGACTTTGTGATTCTTGATTGTGAAGTGGATTATGAGGTGCCTATCATTTTGGGTAGACCTTTCCTTTCTAGGGGGAAAAGTCTTGTTGATGTGGAGGCCGATGAGCTCACCTTATGGGTAGGTGACAAAAAGGTGGTCTTTCATGTGTGCAAATATATGAGGAAACCAAATAGTAATGAAGTGTGTTCGTTCGTGGATTTGGTCACCGATGTGATTGTTGATGATGCTAGTGCCACCATGAATGTTGAGGATAATTTGGAAGCTGTTTTGCTCAATCTTGATGATGTTGAGGAGAAAGAAGGCTATGTGAAGTGTGTGAATGCATTGCAAGGCATGGGGTCATACACATATGAGCCCCGCAATCTATCTTTAGATCTTGAAAACCGAAAGACTCCTCCGACAAAGCCCTCGATCGAGGGGCCTCCCACTTTGGAGTTAAAGCCATTGCCTCCACATCTCAAGTATGAATTCCTTGGCCCTTCTTCTACTTTATCCTTTCTCCTTGCTTAACTAACATGCAGGTAGAGTCCACATTGGAGGTGCTACAAATGAGGCAAAGAGCAATCAGATGGACTTTGGCGGATATCCGGGGCATAAGTCCTGCCTTTTGCGTGCACAAGATTATTTTGGAGGAGGGTGCCAAACCCTCCGTCGAACATAAAAGGAGGATAAATAAAGCAATTCAAGAGGTGGTGAAGAAGGAGATCATCAAGTGGTTGGATGCCGGGGTTGTTTACCCCATTTCTGATAGCTCGTTGACCTCTCCGGTCTAATGTGTCCCAAAGAAAGGTGGCATGACTGTGGTAACAAATGACAAGAATGAATTGATCCTAACAATAACCATCACCGGGTGGAGAGTGAGCATGGACTATATGAAGCTCAACAAAGTCACTCGGAAAGATCATTTCCCGCTTTCGTTTCTTGACCAAATGCTTGATAGGTTGGCCGGACGTGCTTTTATTGCTTTCTTGATGGATACTCTGGCTAAAATCATATACTTATTACTCCTGAGGACCAAGAGAAGACCACTTTTTCTTGTCCCTATGGTACTTTTGCATTCTCGAGGATGTCATTTGGGTTGTGTAATGCACCAGTGACTTTTCAAAGGTGCATGATGAATATTTTCACCGACATGGTGGAGGATATTCTTGAGGTCTTTATGGATGATTTTTCTGTGGTTGGAAATTCACTTGAAGATTGTTTGAACAATTTGGATAAAGTATTGGCTAGATGTGTGGAGACAAATTTGGTATTGAACTGGGAGAAGTGTCACTTTATGGTCGATGAAGATATTGTCCTTGGACACAAAATTTCAAAGCATGGTATTGAGGTCGACAAGGCCAAGATTGAGGTAATCACTAAAATCCACCTACATCCGTGAAGGGAGTGAGGAGCTTTTTAGGTCATGCGAGTTTCTATCGTCGATTCATCAAAGACTTTTCCAAGGTGGTGAACCCATTGTGCAAACTTTTGGAGAAGGATGCCAAGTTACATTTCAATGAAGATTGTATGAAAGCATTCGAATTTCTTAAGTTCAAGTTGATTACTACTCCTATTATCACCGCATGGGATTGGAGCTTGCCTTTTGAACTCATGTGTTACGCTAGTGGTGTTGCGGCTGGAGCGGTGTTGGGAAAAGAATCAACAAAATATTCCATCTGGTCTACTATGCTAGCAAGACCATGAATGATGCCCAAGTCAACTACATAGTGACCGAAAAAGAGCTACTTGCTATTGTTTTTTCTTTGGAAAAGTTCCAGCCATATTTGATGGGTACTAAGGTGATTGTTTACACCGACCATGCGACGCTTAGGTATTTGATGAGAAAGAAAGATTTTAAGGCACGACTGATGCGGTGGGTGCTTCTATTACAAGAATTTGATCTAGAGATTCAAGACCGCAAGGGTAGTGAAAATCAAGTGGCGGACCACTTGTCCCGATTGGAGGAGGAGGGAAGGCCACATGACGGCCTTGAGATCAATAATTTCATCCCTAACGAGCAATTGTTAGCCATTTCAATGATCGGGATGTCGTGGTTTTCCAATTTAGCCAATTATCTTGTGAGCGGCATTGTACCGAATGAGTTCTCTTCAAACCAAAGGAAGAAGCTCAAACGGGATTGCTTGGACTATTATTGGGATGAGCTGTATCTTTTCTGAATATGTACCGATGGTGTGATCCAGCGATTTGAGCTGGAAGAAGAACAAATGGGAATTCTTGAGGCTTGCCACTCTTCACCGTATAGTGGTCACCATGGTGGAGCTAGAACGACTACAAAAGTGTTGAGTTGTGGATTCTATTGGCCTACTCTCAATAAGGACGCTAGTGATCTTGTCAAGCATTGTGATGAATGCAAAAGGCCGGTGGGATTTCTAAGAAGAATTATATGCCCCTCACCACTATATTGGAGATTGATATCTTTGATGTTTGGGGTATTGATTTCATGGGTCCGTTCGTTAGCTCTTATGGGAACACTTACATTTTGGTAGCTGTGGACTATGTGTCAAATTGGGTTGAAGCCGCGACTTTACCCAACAACGAAGCTTGAAGTGTGTTGGCATTTTTGAAGAAGAACATTTTTACAAGGTTTGGTACTCCAAGGGCCATTATTAGTGATGGGGGTTCACATTTTTGCAACCGGGCTTTTGATACCTTACTCACCAAGTATGGTGTCACTCATAAAGTTTTGACCCCCTACTATCCTCAAGCAAGCGGACAAGTTGAAGTCTCCAACCGGGAGATCAAGAGTATTTTGTCAAAGACTATGAATGCCAACTGGAAAGATTGGTCAAGAAAACTTGATGATGCTCCTTGGGCTTATAGGACGACCTACAAGACGCCGATTGGGATGTATCCATATTTATTGGTGTTTGGGAAGGTGTGTCATATTCCGGTAGAACTTGAGTATAAGTCCATGTGGGCTTTGAAAAAGTTGAACCTTGAGTGGGATGTCGCCGCAAACCTAAGAGTGACACATTTGAATGAGCTTAATGAATTCTGGTACCATGCCTACACAAGTTCGTCTCTCTACAAGGAGAAGATAAAGTACCTCAATGACAAGTACATCCACAACAAGGATTTTAAAGAAGGTGATCTTGTGCCATTTTTCAATTCCCGGATATGAATGTTCCCGGGTAAGTTGAAGTCAAAATGGAGTGGCCTCTTTGAAGTGGTAAATATAACCCCCTTTGGCGCTCTAGATTTGAAAAACAAGAATGGTGAGGTGTTTAGAGTCAATGGGCACTGGGTTAAAAATTATCTCGGCAAGGTTGATGATGGCCACATTCTGGCGGTTCTTCATTTCAAGTGATTGGGAATCTGCGTCGTGTCGCGATGTTAAATTAGGCACTTCTTGGGAGGCAACCAATATGTCTTTTTCTTTTTCTTGTTTTTTCTTCTTTAGATTAGATATGCTTTGTTTTGTTCTAACTAGTTTTAGAGTGTATGTAGGATTGGGTGTGCATTGTAGGGGCTGCGTAAGAAAATTTGGCTAAGTGTCACAAAAGTACAGACTGCACCAGAATTATGCGGACCGCACTGACACTCAGTGGTTGCACAATTCTGTCTGCAGTCACACAACTAGAAGATCAAAAATGCATGCTCTCTGAAGTTTGGCTTGTCAAAAATCCTTAACAAATTGCTGCCGCACACAAAATAGTGCGGTCGCACTCACTTTTGTGCGGTCCGCAGAACGTCTTCAGAGGATTAGGTAATGAGTGTGGACCGCACTCAAAATTGTGCGGCCACACTCAAGTAGGTTTGGGCCCAACAGATCAACCTATAAATATTGATTTTCTCGACTTTTTACACTTTACATTCTCTGAACCTTCAAGCCTTAAGCAAGCACAGTGCATCCCTCACTAATTCTCAAACTTCAAGCATTTCATCTCTCAGATTCTCACCTGCATCCTTCATTACTGGTATGTTCATTACATCTTTAGATTTTCATCTTCTCTTAGTTTTGTTCTTTTGCCTAGGGTTCATTTCATGCCTAAAAATGTCAACAATTAGTCATTTTTGCTTAGAATCATGTGGGTAGCATCTTAAATGTTAATTGGGGCATGGGTAAGTAGCTAATCATGCTTAATTTCTAGAGCCATGCCTAATTTTTGAAAAACATGTCTGAATCGTAAGGCAGTGCCCGTAAAATTTAAATTGTGCGGCCACACTCATTTTTGTGCGGTACGCACTTTGATCTTTGCGGCTGCACACACTTTTGTACAGTCCACAGCTCTCTGAGTTAGGGCATGTGTGTGCATGAATTGTGCGGCCACACTCAAAATTGTGCGATCCATAGTGGACTTGTGCGGCCGCACTCATTTTTCTGTTGTCTGCACTGATAAATGATTAGAGACTCCAGTATTCTGAACTTGGAGTTGTGCAGCCGCACTCAAAATTGTGTAGTCCACACTTTTGGTTGTGTGGCCGCACTCACTTTTGTGCGGTCCGCACTTGGCAGTCTGCGGCCGTACTGCCTCTTCTGAGACTACTTTACTGCAACTTTCAAATATGCATTTGTACACACTATGAGCTTCAATTCTAACTGATTTCTATTACTTATGTGTTACTGACAATGGTTAGATCAAGGGGAAGAGGTGATACATCTAAAGGGAGGGCAGAACCCTCCCGAGGCCGAGGTCGAGGCAAAAGCAACTTACCCCTAGCAATCCAAAGAGCCATAAGTAAGAAGACAACCGCCAATAGAGCTCCTGAACCCTCCGAGACCAGTGAGTATCTCCCATATGGGGAAGCTTCTGAGGGCAACTCCGTGCAAGCATATCCAGAAGCCCAATCACTACAAATTATGGGTAGATTCCACTAGGTAGATTAATCATCATCTTCTATCAGTTTTTCTGAAGGTTCAGAAGAGGGTGGTCAAGACTCTGAGCCCTCTTCCTCACATGCTCAAGCTGCTCCAATTAATTTGGACGATGATAATGATATCCCAGAAGTCAGAACTTTGAAGGTAAACATGTTTGAGCGAGCGATAGTAGGATGTTTACCCACCACACCAAGAAGTCCTCCTGCTGCATCCCTTGTTTGAGACTTTGAGTTGCCACCAACTAGTTAGTAATGAGACCTGCGATTGATCCCAAAACTGATAAACATGACATACTGCATTACTAGGATTGAAAATGTATCTGTACCATATCAGAGTTTTAAGCCAGCACCTATTCTATGGGCTTGCTGTCTAGTGATTGTGGCCATACATAACTGCCTGGTCATACCCTGACCATAATCAACAGTGGAAATTTCGCTGCCACACCTTGAGATAGTGCACAGATAAATCAAATCATATCTTCGTCATCCCAGCACATTAAAAACTACATAGAATACCAAACTAAGACAATGTAGTGTATCAAGTAAAGCAAATGCATAGTATGACCTAAAACGAGTTCCCATAACAGAGCAGTATATACACAGTTATTACAACAATAGAGCATGATAAAGTGGAAATGTGGAACCGTACGGACACAGAAAAATCATTCTAGGGTTGTCAGACATAAAATAAAGAAGTGTGCATGTTGATCAGCATCTTAATAAAGTAGAGTGAGGGAGAACTCAAGTGTAGGCTAAATAACGAATAAATAATGTGACATTATTTGAGTACAGAAAATAAAATAATACCTAATAGCTAGTGAGTGAAATAACTACTAAGGAACAATGATCGCCTTGTTGGGCTTATTGTAAGTGACTTTTAAGCCAAAAGTCATAAGTTAGGAATTCTAGCTTTTGGCTTATTTTTGTCAATTTAGCTTAAAAACAAGTGCTTAACAGCACTTTTTTACTTTATCCAAACACTACAAAATGGCTTAAAAGCAATTTTGGCTTAAAAGCACTTAAAATAAGCCAATCCAAATGGGCTCTTATCCCATGTATGTAAGGAATGTGTTTTAGTTATGAGTTGGTAGGCTTGTAGCAGGTCCGTCGGTGGCATTGCTTGTGGCGAGCAGTCAGCTGTTGGCAGGGGAAGGTGGTGCGCTGTGCGTGTAGTGTCACAAGGTGCTGCCTGCGTGGTGCTTGTTCCACTGTGCGAGCAGTCAGCTGTTGGCAGGGGAAGGTGGTGCACTGTGCGTGTAGTGTCACAAGGTGCTGCCTGCATGGTGCTTGTTCCGCTGTGCGGCCATTGTGGGCTGTTCATCATCATAACTGACGCCGACTTGCTTGGGATTGAGGCATTGTTGTTGTACTTGTGGAATATATTGTGTTACTAAAAAGCATTAGACTCACCCAGATCTTTACCGACTTCTACTCTTTCCGTGAGGTCTTTGCACTTCAAAAAATATGCTCAACCAGGTCAGACTGCTGAGTCTCAATCTTCCGCATTAATTGGCTTACAACTCAAAAATTAAAAATATCCAGCTAAATATGTAACTCCTGCATAACACCAAAGCTCTAAGATTTAATTGAGAATAGTTGCCATACAACTGGATAAAGAAGCACTAACAACTCAGTGGGAAGACAGGAGAAAACTTAGGACATCATCTAACAGGGAATAATTATCAAAATAAGTGCAGCTGGGAATACAAAATATCATACCATGACAAAAGATCTCTGTTGCATGTCAAATATTTGGAAGTGAAGTTGCACATATGTCCAAATCACCACTCTGATCTGAAACTACAAGCATTTCCAGAAATCTTGTTATGCCTGAGACAATAACTTCTCACAGAAATATAATGAGCTATTGCATTGCCTTGTCAGACCAGTAATCTCTCCTGAGAAACACAATGATTTCCTCTTTACTAGTCAAAATTCACGCCCTCTGAAGCTGAGGCAAGTTACGGCCACGCTCGACAAAGCGCAACATGAGCTTGTCCGCCTCTTCTACTCTGCCATCTTGCATCAATCTATCCTTCACCTTGTCACAGAGCTTTAAGTCAGGTATCAGATTCCGGTTGAACATTCGACAAGCCACCTTATATGATGAAAGAGGGTTCCTTTCCTTTAAATAGGTCTCCATAAGAATGTGGCAGGTATTTGCATCAACTCTTGAAGCTGTCCTGAGGACGTTTCCCAACAGCTTATAAGCCTCGTCAGCATATCCGAAACCACAAAGTTTTTCAATAACCTGATTATAAGCAGTCTTACACCCCTGTCTTGAAAGCATCTTCTCCAGTAATTTCACCAGATCATCAACCCTACGTTGCTGACAAAATCGGTGGATGACCGTACGATACGTCACAGCAGTGGGAAGCACACCCCTATGAAGCATTTTATTGGCTAGATCAATAGCCTCTTCTATTCTTCCTTGCTTTGCCAATCCGTCTATTAGCGTTGTATATGTGACAGCATCAGGATGTTTGTTAATCAAGTACATGTCATCAAGGACCGAGAGAGCAGCATCCAATTCATTCTTTTGACAGAAACCATGAATTAAAGTGGTGAAATTCACCACATTAACAGCACATCCTTTCTTGAAACATTCTTCCATAAAGTTCTTTGCTTCATCTACTCTGCCTTCTTGACAAAGGGATCGAATTAGCAGGTTAATTTCAACGGGGGTAGGGAAATAGCCCTTTGCAATCATTTCCCTACCCACATCACAGGCTCCAGACAGTTTCCCTTCCCTGCGATAGCCATGCATTAACACGCTAAACGTAATAGCATTCGGTCTCCACCACGACTCCTCACACATGCTCATCATCTCTCTTGCCTCAACAGACCTTCCACTCCGGCAAAGCCCATTTAATAGGGCAGTATATGATACAGTGTTTGGCTTGCAACCGTGCTTGTACATATGTTGAAGTAACTTTTTAGCTTGATCAATTTTCCCTGCAAGACAAAACCCATTCAGAACTGCAGTGTAAGTAACCACATCAGGATTACATCCTTTGGCAATCATTTCATTGACCAGTTCCTTTGCCTTATCTATTCTTCCGTCTTTACAGAAGGAATTTACCACAGCACTGTAACCCACTTTATCCACTTGGAATCCTCTTTCTTCAGCTTCCCTTAAGAATCCCATCGCTTCATCAGCATGACCGCACTTCGAAAGCATATGTATAATTGTATTATAAGTAACCTGGTCAGGCAATAAGTTACTATCTTTATCCATTTTCTCCACCAACTCTTTCACTTTATCGGTTTGTTTCTGCGTGCAAAAGAATGAAATCAACGTATAATAACTAACTTTATCTGGGTAACAGCCCTTATACGGCATTTCAGCCATCAGCTCTAATGCATCTTCAACTCGATGCACATCACAATAACCTTTGATTAAACAATTGTACGTAACAACATTCGGTGTTATCCCAACTAGTTGCATCCGCTCAAGAAACCTCAATGCTTTCTCAATTTTATTTCCCTTCACCAAAACATAAATTGCAGTGTTGCATATATATAAATCAGGCTCAATTCCTGCTCTTTGCATCACGTTCAGGATCTGCATTGCTTTCCTTAAATGTCCAGCTCGACTAAAAGAAACCATCACACAACCAAAATCTTCAGGTCTCCTCGGAATTCTTCTACGTGGCATCAGCTTGAGAATGCGCTTAGCTCCCTGACACAACTTTGTCCTACTTAGAAGTTGAAGCATCACATAATAAACAATAGGGTCATGTCGATAACGCCATTGCTGGTCCGCCCAATAAAAGAATTTCAAAGCGACCCTTTCATCGGATTGAGACCTTAACACAGCACAAACTTGCAGAGGCTTCATACTTCTTAGCAGACGCCTCAATTCAATCTCAAGCTTCGGAGTCCAACCCGACTGACGTTCAATTAATCTACATGTTTCCTTAACCAAAGGGTGTCTCATTTCATCTTCAACCCCTTCAATTCTTTCAGAAATTCCAACATTCTCCGCCCGATTCACTTGCCTTTGACTTTTACCAAATGAATCCAAAACCTTAAAATCATCATCAATACAGTCCAAACTACCTCCTCCATCTTCATTTTCTGACTCTTCAAACTCATCCACATTATCAAACCTACAACTACTAGCAGTTTCTTTAAAGCTGCAATCTTTTCCATCTTCATCACAAGAATTGTCAGAAAAGCTCAAATCTTTACATTCTTTAGAACCCAATTCTTCTTTTACAAAAATTCCATCTCCAGTATCATCAGAATGCTCATTTTTCAAGTACAAATTAGGGTTTAGATTGACTCTAGGGCTATCACTTCCAGATGAACAAGAAGAAAAAGATGCAACAACTCCATTATAAGTAAATGGGTCTCCACCAAAATGGATTCTTGATTCAAAAGTTGCAATTTTTCCAGAAAATTCAACATAAACACGATGATTACATAAACCAAACCAAAGAATCTTGAAATTGTTTCTATGCCTAGGCAAGGCTATTCCAATTCTAGAGCATATATGTGACTTCAGCAGCATTTTAATGAATTCACTGAGATTCTAAAGCATTTCTTTTATGCAATAAGAAGTTTGAATAGAGCTTCAATTGCTTACTTGTGAGTTCTATTGCTTTGGACTGGGACCAGTTCTGCGAAAAGTTTGCAGCTTGACAGAAGCCTATGTCAAGCTTGATTGAGCGGGCCGGGGCATCCGAGTACATATGTGCCGGCCCTTTGTGTGCTTGCGCGGATGTATTAGCAAATGTTAGGAAAAAAATAGGAAATAAGAGCCGGAAAAATATATATTTTTTATACTATATTTTGTGTGTGTATATATATATAAAGTATTTTATATGTTATATATAAAAATTATATTTATATATTTTTTCGGCTATTAAATGTAAATAGTTTCTGTACGGACTAAAAGAGATAATACCCCTGAAAAATTGGTTGGCGTAACTATTGTTTGGACCGGTTATTAGAGTTTATTCAGTATGTGAGATATAAGAACTTGACTTTTATAGTGAATGGTTATTATATTGGGATGCTATTATAGAGAGGCTCGAGATAACATTAGAATCAAACATTTATAGGACCCATGATTTGTTCCTACAATTTTAAAATTCTCTATATGTAAAATCCTAAGTGCCCGTTTGGCCATAACATTTTTTTACTTTTTTTCAAAAAAAATTTACTTTTTTTTCGGAATAAGTGTTTGGCTATAAAAAATTTAAATTTTATTTGAAGTTGAATTTCGAAATTTTTCGGAAGTTATTTTCCAAAAATTTCACTTCAAATCACTCATAAAATTTCAAAAACAACTCTATATAGTATTCATGTCCAAACGCATATATTCACTTTTTTCCGAAATTTTATAATTTTTATATCTAAATTCCCACTAAATTCTCCACAAGTAAAACCCCAGATTTCGAAGCTTTGAAAGGGAAAATCCCAACACACTAAACTCATCAAAAAGTGACTACAATCAAACCTCTCTATAAACAGCCTCTTTTGTTCCTATTTCCTAATATTTTTAGATGTTATAGCGAAGTGTTGTTATAGAGAACATATATTATTAACATGAGTTTTGGTTCCGGAAAAACTTGGCTTTTATAGTGAAGTGTTGTTATATAGGAATGTTGTTATAGAGAGACCTGAATTGTATTCGCTAATATCATTTAAATGTTAATGTCCACTCACTATTAAATTAAAATTTTGGAGAATATACACAGAGTGTATTCTTACAGTAACAAATAAAATAATGTGATTTGATAACATAAATTAAATAATACGGCGAATAAGCTTACAGTTAGACATGTCGCTACTTTGCTAACCAATTTCTATTTTCAAACATTTTGGCCCCAAAATAGAAATTGTCACTTTCTATTTTCACTTTCTGCAGTTGGGGCAACCACTATTGAATAAGCTTTAAGAAGTTGCATTTTAGATATAATTGATGCAAGAAATTAGGAGTACATGTTGTTTAAGATTTGTTGAAAATAGTCTTAAGGAGGTTATCCAAAAAAATTTGAAGCCATTTGGTGGAAATTTGAATTGATTTTGAACAAGAATTATAACTGAAAATCGTATAAGAAGTTTGCACCGTAGCTAGTGCCGTTTATATATTTTATGTATTAGTATACACTATTATGTAAGGTTGGTACATATTATTATACATTTTTATACAAGATTAATATATTATCTATTAAGTGTTTAAATATTGTGTAATAATTTATATGAGTATATAAATACTGTTGTAAAAAAATATTGGCTATGCGGGAATAAACAAAGAATATGACAACGTGAGTGTAATACTGTAATATGTCGTGTCGGGTTGTATATTTATACAAATTTGCCAATCATTTTACAATTGCCTTCTAAAAGCTATACTCCCTCTTCTACTTTAACATACTATTTGGATAGTCAAAAAAGGTTCTTCTTTGACTAGACTAATTTTTTTTGACTTATAATACTTTTTAGGTAGTTTTTAAACATGTGAATTTGTTTTTCAAAATAAAATAAAAAAATATATGTTCAAATTCATATAGATATTAGGTATTTTAACCCTCATTCCAAACCATGCGAAATTAAATGGAACTTGGAGAGTATATATTTTTTATGTATAATTGGATGGCGTCTATAAAATCTATTAACAATATGAAGTCTATCTTCGGGGAGTGAATAATTCAAGTCTAATCAAGGGTCTTCTCATTTTTTATATATATATTTTCTGTTTCAGGCCTATAAATCATGAAACATACACTTAGTGCATTTTATGTGACAATATTTCTGAATTCATATTCTCTTATCAATTGGTTATTCTTTTCCGTTTCGATGCTCTTGAATGTATTTCACTTAGGAGCATAACTACGAAGTGAGAGGAATACCAGACTATTAGCATTCAATTTGTGTGGGATTCAAAGAAAGAGAATACCCAATTAGAATGGGCAAGGACAATCAATTATTGACTTAATTTTTTGTTGAAAGAATGATAATATTTTTATATTTCATGCAATTTAATATTAAACTTCTTATTTTTTCTTAATAATATGCTTTTTAACCAGCAAAATCTCACATAACTTTTTATACCATATATTTCTAAAGTCTTGTTTAAATTCAGTTAATTATGGAGTAAACTCACCAACTTGAACCGTCAACAGTAGTACCAACCGACCAAACCGCTACATTTCATTCCCTCGGTCTCCCATGTCTCCATTTCGAATCGAATAAGTAGTGGTACATTCCTCTCGTTCGAATTGCGAACTCATATCTCCTCCCCAATCTCTCCGTCGATCGAAAATGACCGCCGTCGAGAACGGCAGTGCGGAGCCGCAATCAGCGTTGATCTTCCTCGGCACCGGTTGTTCCAGCGCCGTTCCCAATGCACTCTGCCTCATCCGGCGCTCCGATCCTCCTTGTTCCGTCTGTTCCCAGTCTCTTGCCGTACCGCCTGAACAAAACCCTAATTACAGGTCAATTTTCTACATTATTGCTTTACATTTTTATTGCATTGTGAGTAATTTTTTTTTTTTTTGGATAATTGCGAACTTTAATTTGTTTTTCAGGCAGTGATCTGCGTTTATATTTTGGATGTTCTGTTTTAGGTATAGTTTAGAGGAATCTAGCAACCTGGTAGGCAATGTGTTTGGTAATTGTTACATTTTCAGCATTCAGAGAACCATTTAATTGCAGCTTATCTGAGTTATATGGAGTAGTGGCTTGTGATTAACAATGTGAATTCATTACTGTAAGAATACTGGTAAGAACAACCCAAGGATGTTCCTAGTGGTCAATGAAGTGTGAGGAGAACCATGGGGACTCACGTTCAAATCCCAGTGGCAAAATATATCTTTCCATATACATGAGCCTTAGTGAGCTGAGTTACGTGGTACTTGTGCTAGTGAGAGATAGTAGGTACCAGGTGGAATAGTCGAGGTGCATGTAAGTTGATCGAGACACCACTGTTTTAAAAAATAGCGGTGAGCGCAAGTACATATTTATTGAAGTTGGGAACTGAGAAAATGTTCAGGAAGCAAGTACATATCCATGCTTTTCATTGTAGTGTGTTTAATTATCAAAAAAATGTATGTGTCAAGGATTGTTTATGATGAATTCTATGAGACCTCATCAAAAAGTTTAAGCTGTTAGAGAGATGCATTTATTTACTTATATTAGGTCAGCAACATGGCCTTTTACTGGACCGAGTACATTGAGATATTATTGTTGATGGCTGAGGGTGAGACTCAAATCCTAAACGTCATGTTAAATTATGCAACCGTCTCGTCTAAAAGCTTAATCTATTAGAGAGATGGAACATTTAATTACTTATACTAGGTCTCTAAAAATTTAGACAAGTATATAGTAAATTCTTAAGCAATATGCTAGATGATGACTCCATTTTTGCACTCTGAGAATGGTTTAATTGACCTTAGAGTTATGTGGTAGTGGTTAACAGTTGCGTAATGGTCTGCAGGTGTAATACATCTCTTCTCATTGATTATTTTAAGGACAATGGTGAGCACAAGTACATATTAATTGATGTGGGGAAGACATTTAGGGAGCAAGTTCTTCGGTGGTTCACCCGTTATAAAATTCCTCAAGTTGATTCTGTGAGTTCTTTATAAGTTCTTCACTACTAACTAAATTCTTTCCCCGTTGTTTAGCAGATGTGTTACACAGTTAATGAGAAAAGAACTATGTTACATCCAAAGCTACTTCTGAAAACCTGAATTCACCAAAGTCAATATATAAAATTAGTCTTACTTTTTTCCAGAATTTTCGACCAAAATCAAGAGTTCCAAAGACGAGCAGTTTAATTTACCCTTATTGCTGCAAATTTTGGGAAAGGAATAAATATTGGGTACTGCAGTTTAAACCAACAAGGTTGGTAGGACGATCATTAGTTCAATATCCTTCCTTTTGCTTGTATTTGGAATAAAATTAATTAAGAGGTTGCATATGAAAGTCATCTTGAATTTGCTTTTCACAAAGTCTGTCATGGTCTACACCAGCTTGACTCAACTTATTGCCAAAACTAAAACCTCAATTAAAAAGACCGAATGTTTTTGAACTACATGAGTCTAGGTATAGAAAAAAGAGTGCACAAAACTTCCGAGTCTCAGAGAACACAAGATTTTCCCAGTTTTCATTCACAAAAACAGATCTGACATCAAATGGCCTAGTTTGACTCTCTATTCAAAGACTAATATTGATTTCAACAAAAATTATAAATATATACAAAGTGAAGATTTTTATTTTACCTTTGGGCAATGGTTTACACAACAGATTGATAACAACAACAACAACAACATACCCAATATTTGGGCTTGGGGAGGCTAGTGTGTACGCAGACCTTACCCCCTTTGTGAAGGTAGAGAGGCGGTTTTCAATAGACCCTCGGCTCAGGAAAGCATAAGCACCACATTAATTAAAATGATAGACAAGGGGGACAACACCAAAAAGCCATGTAAAAGCAACAAAAAACAACACGATAATAAGATGATCAAAATGAAAGAAAACGACGGATAGTCAAAGAAACCTACTACCAACAGAATGCGAGAGTGCGTACTAATACTACCGGAATGAACAATCTAGACCACATACCCTACTACCCTAATCTTTAACCTCTACACTTTCCTATCAAGGGTCATGTCCTCGATCAGCTGAAGCTGCGCCATGTCTTGCCTAATCACCTCTCCTCACTTCTTCTTCGGCCTACCTCTATCGTAGGCCCTCCA